GCACTCTCTCATTCTTCGAGCTGACCTCCCAGTGACCACCCTCTTGGCCACCGCCTTGAACAGAGGAACGTGTATAAATTGAAGTAGATCGATAGCAAATCATTTTTTAAGGGAGGAATTCTACATCACTCGAAATAAGAATCAGGGGCGTTCGTTGGAGGATAGGAATGAGGATGCTCAGGAATACCCATGTCCTGGAATTTTCGCCACCACCTTTTCATAAGGTGAACAACACTCAAAAGAATTATTTGCCCTCCAGGCGCTTGTCTATTAAAGCAACCTATAAAAAGTAGTGTGTCCCTTGCATCAACTACTCGAGTCCGTGCTATGCATCCAGTCAAGTCGAGCTAATCTGCGAGCTGTGGTCTCTAATCAGGGCAGCTCATCTTCTACTCAACCCACCCAACCCAACAGGATGACGTCATGGCATCATCGCCTCTCCACGTATTAAACCCCGCCGACGAACGTCATGAAACCATCACCGATCATGGTGTTCCGTTCGCCCCAATAACTACGGATGACAGATGCCTATAAAGGGCAACGTCCCATGCGTCGAAATGACAGAAATGTCTATTGACAAACCACGTTTTCGTCAGTTACTTCCTACCACACAACCAGCTTTGCCCAGCATCTCTTCGCGGGAACTGCAGAAGCGGAAGCGAGTCAGCACTCAGACCGCTTGTAATGAATGCCGCCGTAAGAAGAGCCGTGTATGCATAACCGTCTCTAGTATTTTCGAGTTCGAATGATGAACAATTTTTTTTCTTTTTCTTAACTTTTATTTCCCCAAGAAGATTGTTACCGCGTTCTGACGTTTTCCCACCCATAATGTAGTGCGACGGGCAGCACCCTAGCTGCGCAAGCTGTCGACAGCGATCCATACGATGCGTATACACAGATAAACGGGCTCAAGACCTATCCGCTGCGGCTGGGGCCAACGAGGTCCTCGAGGTTCTTAGGTCCGCCCCAGAAAGCGAGGCTGTGAATATCTTGCGAATGCTTCGGGTCAAAAATAACCTATCGATAATCTCCATATTACGAGGGCTTTCAAAAGACGACAGCTCGCCAGAGAGTATGGAGAGTATGGAGATTATGAAAAGGGAAAAAGATGAATATGAAGATGAGGATGAGAAGGAGAAAGAAGAAGAAGATTGCTTCGGTCAACTCCTCTCGTGGAGCACATGCACGAGATCTAGCGACCACCGGTTGCCAGCCAAAAGGCCCAAACTGTCAACCACATCGTCCTTGCCACCGCTTCCACTCGATGCCTACAACTCCTGTGCTCATATGGATACATGGACTCAAACGGGCTGGACAAAAGCTCACATACGGCACCTGTTCGACGCTCTTGTGACATGGGATTACCTGCCTTTTTGTCTTCTATGCAAAGAGCTGTTTCTGCAGGACTTTTACAGCGGATCAGATCAATTTTGTTCGTCAGCATTAGTGCATGCAATGCTCGCACTTGCTACCCGACTAATCAATGAAAGTGGCGATGATAACGGAATCCTGCCTTCAGGGTGGCTTCATAGCAAGTTCTTCTTCCAAAAGGCCGAGTCATTACTCAGTGGCAAAGCACCATTCAGCAGCCTTCCGGACAATCAAGCCCTCGGTATACTCTCCCTCTATCAGATACGCTGTGGGCGGGAGGTACAAGCGAAACACCTTGCGGAGACCTTTGTCGCGAGTATCACACAGCTTTGCCAACATGAGCAGCCGGAAATTAGGCAAGAGGAGAGTGATGCTTATGATAGAGTCCGAGCTACGACTTATTGCGGTGCAGTCTCCCTAGCTCGGTATGTCACACGCAAACTTTTACCTGATTGCAGCATTTATCTGACTTTAAATAATAGTATACTATGTTTGACAACTGGGCAAAAATTTATCGGTTCAGAGGGTACGACTCAGCAGGACACATTATTTCTATACCTTCTACCCCATTGCAGTGGAGTCAATAGCCAAGAAGATGAGGGACTAAGGCCGCGTAAGTGCTCAGTGGAGTGGAATTTCAGCCGTTTATAAACATCTGTTTCGACTGACAAAAAGGTAGACCTCGCTGTAAACGTATTTCCGCCTCTGTTATGGAACCTTCAGCATCTTACATCTAGAGTATTCCAGTTGACCGATTGGGTGCATTCCCTTCTGGTGGCAGCCGAAGCTGACATACAAGAAGCTCTAAACGATGTCGGAGAAGTGTATCACAGATGTCTGAACTGGTATAAGAGTTTCTTTGCTTTCCTTGGGGCTGAAAGCAGTAGAACCCCATTCATTCAATTCATCCAGTAAGCAATCCTGCCTTCTCCTGGCTTCCCCCGTGATAGAGTTTCAGGACACTAAACAGATGCAGTATGTACTACCATTTCTGCCTTCTCTGTGCGTTTAGGCCCTTTATTGGTTTCACTGTAGAAGGTTCTACTATTCAGCCACATGAGATATGTATGCAGGCCGCACAGTCCATCTTGGCATTAGCTCAGTCCTACGATGATCTCTTTACAGTACGACGGGTGTCAGGGTTCATTCCCTATTTTGTTTGCACATCCGGGCTGTTCAGTCTTGCACTGGAAGATGGAAGATCACATCCCGATTCATCGCACCTGGGCCTGGAGAATGCCTCTTCAACGATCCTCAAGACGAAGCCGCAAGGACACAAAACCGCGGCTGGATATACTGGCTCTGAACTTTCACCGGCATTTGTTGAGATATCCGCCGCAACTCATGCGCACTTGCTGCTGAAAAAAATGGGCTCAACGCACCCAGCGGCTAAGAAAGCCGACAAATTAGTTCGAGAGGAAGCTGAATGCATACAGGGCGTGGAGGCGACCAGAGAAGAATATTACCGGCTGGTAAAATATGGCGTGGATATGATCTAGACAGGTGCTCGCCTTTCCAACACACACATACACACGCGCACACACGTAACGCGCGTAGGCGGGCATTGAACGCTCCTCACCATCCATTTAGAGATGGGTGTGAACAGAATCCTGTCTTAACGTCCACATATATTGTACATCCCTTAGAAACATAGCGTCACTGAAATTGAGACATATATTTAGACATCGCAAACGCTGCGTGCTCTTTGTCACATTATTCTGGGATTCGGTGACGTGATTTTGAAGCTTGGTATGAAAGATACGGAACTCTTTGATTGGCCACACAGAGATGCGACGAATTTGGAAGGTCGGTGAAATATGATAACCCGAGCTTCCAAATTGTTAGGCAGCCAACCAGGTTCAATTCACAGCTTGCTTGTTCTTTTGTCGATTGAAGGCCGAATGGTGTGAACCGTGATACAATACATATTAATTTTCCTAACATTCATATTCTGGACATTCTTTTCTTTTTTTCTCTTTCTTCTTCTCTTGGCTTGTTCATAGTTTCACCCGGTTAGGAGCAGTGGCTTCGACATCGACAACGTGTTCCCCCCCTCTGACAATTTACTGTCTTGTGACTCACACGAACAAACAAAGTACTGAACGTTTTCCGTTCTGCTCTCCGACGAAATCTACAACAGCAAACATGGCAGTACTCACACTTCCCAAATCTCTTCCATCTGCGGAGTCGTTTGACCTGCTTGTCGACAAGTATAAAGCATTTCGTCTCCTCTCCCTGAAGCTGTCTCCTCAAGTGTTCGGCTCAACTTATGCCCGCGAGGAGGCTTTTCCTGATGACAGATGGATTTCACGGTTGTCCAATCCTCTCGCTACAAGTATTGTCGCCGTTTCAAACACAGGTTCGGCAACAACTTCTTCCGAGCTTGAATCGAACGCGGGCCATGTGAGCGTTGCAGACCGCATCCTCACGGAAGAATGGTTGGGTTCTCTTACTCTGATGGGCCCGCTCGACAAACAACACGCCACGGAGATGTTTGGTGACGCACACCTTAGTATGGAAACGTGCTTTGACGAGGGTGCTGAATGTCATTTCATCCTGAATGCGATGTATGTGACGCCCAGTGCGAGAGGAAGCGGGGTCGGCAGCGCCCTCATTCTGTACGCCAACCAGCTTGCCTCTAAGCTTGCGTCTGGAGGGGCAGCAAGAGTCTTGCTAGTTGTGGACCAAGATAACGAAGCGGCAAGGCGATCGTACGCGAAAGGTGGCTTTGTAACCATCCACAGACACTGGTTTGACGATTACCGGGTGGGAAGGTCGGGGAGAACAGAGGCGGCAGTGATGAAGGTTGATCTGAATCGAGATTGAAGGGAGTACGATGCGGAGGACGGGAGGAGCATCGCCGAAACGCTCTAATTAAGGCATACAAGTGATCTTAAAATCGCATTAGACGTGTCGTGAAAATTAAATCATCGATAGAGAATTCTAGGTTCTAATTTCTATGCTGTGCGATGCAAAGTATCTTCCTTCTGCTCATTATGAATTTAAACTCATCGTTTCGATAGAACTCGGAAGCCTGATTATGTTTGTTTACAATCGGAGGGAAACAATCCCAAGGCGTTGGGAAAGAAACGAAATGAATAAATTTGAAAATCCTTAATGCTACAACAAGAGTTTAGTATAGTGTGACATTGCTGGGCGCAAGGCCGTCGCACATCGGTTAGTTATACCAGCCTAAACTTCACTGCTCAGGCCATACTATGGTAAAGCAGAGCCACTCACCTAAGGTAGTTTGAATCTTTGTCTATCTTTTCCCGACTCATGTGTAGGATGGAAGAAAAAGGTTGGCTTGTCGCCCTTGTCATATTTGCAAAGGCTGCAGCCCAGTTGATCTCTTGGAGGTGAATGGGAAGCATCCATTACTAAGGTGCGAACTAATTGCCCAGAATAGACGTCGGAAAGCCTTTCGTTGTCAAATGAGCAACTGGTTTAATCAATCTCAAACTGGGAGCTCGACATGATCCCCTAATAGCCATTAGGACCATATATACTCGGCAGAAACTTAGAATCGATAACGTTTAGACTGGTACTTTTCTTGAATTAAAAAGAGCAAAAAGAAAATAGATATATTGAATAAGGCGCACGGCAAAGAAGTGGATGCCAAAAAGCAATGAACAGAGTGAGATTCGAACTCACGCCTCTTACGAGACTGCGAAGAAAGTCGTTCTTAGTTGAAGATGCAACCTGAACACAGCGCCTTAGACCGCTCGGCCATCTGTCCTATGATTGATGGAAAATTTTTAGGGCTTCGTCAGTTTATTCACCCTTCCGCAGCTTTGCAGTCCATCCATCCGCCTTTGGGAGCGTGGAGATACCATGAACCTCGAGGTGCAGTCATTAGAACATTACCAGAGCCTGGTCAGGAATCGGGCCGAAAATGTTCTAAGAATTGTAAACAGAGAAAGAGGGGAAGCTTAGATTTAGTAGGCTAGATGGGAGACGTGCATGGAATAACCTGTGAGATATTCTGTTTGGAGGTTCATCAGATGGTTGTCATAGACGCGCTCTCTGTCCACTCTAGTTTCGACTTATCTAGAGGCTCAACAAGTTCCACCAGGACTGTGGGCATTGTCTAGCCCTCTCTTAGATACACGTATTGCATTCTCGCTCTAGCATGGCTTCTGTATTTGTATTGTTGATACTGCCAATGCTGGTTCCATTTACCTCTCGGGAAGGTGTTTGTGAAAAGTGCACGGAAGAAGGGAATAAATATTAAAGTGAGGGGGAGACGAAGCAGCGATTGAAAGAAGGCACATACAGCCCGAGCTTGATTATGAGAATCCCACTCTGATTTCTAATCTCTGGATGCAATTGCTGCATCACCAGCATGACCGCAATAGTGCTTGTAATCTACGTGAATTAATGTGAAAGTGGGTTCAGAGTTTTCATCTGGCAAAGAACGAGCAAAGACAGGGGGAAGTAGTTCCATTCCATATATCCATACCAGAATATTTTACAGAACAATTCAAGATAACAGCCTTGTAGGGTTGTATCCATCTAGGTTCAGATATTACTGTCACGAAATATGTGACTTGGTTTTATACAATCATAAGCGAGCTAGAGTGTGTTGTCCATTCTGGGAATGTAGACTTCGTAGATATGCACTCCAGCCTCAAAGCCATCGTATGAATAGGGCCTTATCATGATCTCTGACTATTTGTTAGATTGCATGAAATACACTTCACTTTCAATTAGAAACCACTCGCATGAGACTGTCGCTTCTTCTTTTGGGCCCTCAAACTAGTTGCAAGACTGCAGAGTTGAAATGCAATCCGACTGAAGGGTGAAAAGTTGATACGGAGAATTGCAGAGAGCTTCTTGTAGAAGATTAGTTTCAAAAATTTCAGCTTGTCAAGGACAGATGGCCGAGCGGTCTAAGGCGCTGTGTTCAGGTTGCATCTTCAACTAAGAACGACTTTCGCAGTCTAGTTATAGGCGTGAGTTCGAATCTCACTCTGTTCATTTCTTTTTTCTTCATCATGTTGATTAAGACTTTAACTTTTTTTTTTTTTAGGTCTTTCTCTTCTCCACCCCTTTGTTTTCTTTAAAAAAAAAAAACATTTACTTACGATTCCCAAGTTCCATGGTACATTTGCAGCTTGACAACTGAATTTTTTGTCTACCTCGGACTTGGTAAAAGTAGCGATGACAACTTTCCACATTGAACAATCGCACTTAGCTCCCATTCTATTGGCTTGCACATTGTTTCTATTCTGGCAGCCATGTAAAAAAAAAATCGAAGCCGTCAATTCTAGCTGCTCAGGAGAAGGTGACACTTTATAGTCATGTTGAAGTCTCAACTACGAGAAGCTAGTAAAGCTTGTGGCCCTTTTGCAATTCCTCTATGGTGACAGCGTCTAAGTAGTCTGAATCTGCAAGCTATTGACACACGTCCATCAAGCGGAAACAAAAAACCATGATTCAAATAGGTGGAAAGTTGCCAAGACTGTTATTGCCTGGCACAAGTCTTAGAGAAAGATGCACATACGAACAGACGCTAGGGTTGTTTTGAAAGTCTGTTGAATTTATACAAAACGGTTCCGGCTCTCCTTTCGCAGGGCTATTACGACAAAGGCATCTTGTAGGCGGTCATTTGTATCTGTTTCAAGACAGAAACAAGATAGTCGTCCACTCTTTCGGCGTATAGCTACTTGATGGTAACCCTGTAGGAAGGGATATTGGCTTAATTTGCAAAAGCTATGAAAGTATTCCACGAAAAGCACAATTCAATCTAACCTGAACTCTTTTCAGGATCACCCATCCTTCCAGCACCAACTTGCTAGTTGTTGCGTGGCCTCATGGATCATCAATATTGATACATGCTCGTGCTTATAAATCAAATACGAAGATATCGAATGGCCAAACCTTCGCCATTGCTACACTATGCCAACCCTGTTAACTCTGCATCATCAAAAGAGAAACAGGCTCGCCGCCTAGAGTTTATGATCTTCTTAAAATTGCCAGCTATGATTGCAGCATTGTCAGACGAGGTCACTCGTTAGTTATCGTAGCCGCGTCCGATCTGCTTATTTAGCAAGCTCCGTAACCAGCGCTAGGCCGCCGGAGCATTCAAAGGGTCCGCTCCGGAACGATTCTCCACAACTTTAATACTTGTGCATTGTTTGCTGAGAAATTCAGGACCATGATAGATGGCATCATTATTAGGATAGTGTGGCATGTGTATAGTATACTAGCGCCATTGTAGTGAGCTTCAAGATATATAAATCGCCGTTGTCTCGTCGTCAAATACAAGTAGAACTTTGATGAGCATTACTGAGACTGCAATTCGTCCACCTACATCTTTACCAAGTATTCACAAATTTGATCTACAAGATGGCTTCCACTTCACCAGTTGCTCTTATTCTCGGGGCCGGAGCCAATATTGGACAAAATGTCGCCCGTGCCTTTGTTGCAAAGGGCTACAAAGTCGCCCTCGCTGCTCGAAGTCTGCAGGAGGATGACAGCACCCCTGACCAACTCCATATCAAGGGCGATTTCTCAGATGCCGATTCCATTGCAGGAATTTTCGCCAAAGTTAAATCACAGCTGGGAACCCCCTATGTCGTTGTCTATAATGGTACTTGATCCTGTGTGTTGGTATTGCAGATGCAGATGAGATTGCTAATCTACTAAACAAAGCCGCTGCCGTAACCCCGCAAAAGCCAGAGACTCCTTTGCTTGTTCCGATGAAGGACTTCGTTCGTGACTTAAACATTAATACTGTCAGCGCTTTCGCCGCCGCCCAGCAAGCCAGTCTTGCCTTTGAAGAGCTTCCTGAGTCTGCTTCTCGAACGTTTATCTATACTGGGAATATTACCAACATATCGCCTATCGCGCCTCTCCTGACCATTGGTGTTGGCAAGTCCGCTACAGCACACATTGTTCAAGTCGCTGCAGAGGCATACCAAGACAGAGGTTTCAAGTAGGTGTTAAACCCTGGCACATCTCCAAGGCGGCAATGTTCTAATGCGGGTCTTTAAAATAGGTTCTACTATGCCGACGAGCGCAAGGCTGATGGCTCGCCTGTGTATAGTGCGATTGATGGACCAGCACATGCGCAGTTCTACACTGAGCTCGCTGAAACAAAGTCGCAGGGTCCCTGGCAGCAGACCTTTGTTAAGGGGGTAGGGTACAAGAAGTTTTAAGTACTCTGCGAGAACGAACAAAGAACCCAGTTGCCGTACTCGGACGTGTTCTCAGCATGGAGAGGAAATAGGCATGCCGCCAGAGGTATTTTTCTAGTCAAGAGGACATTGAGGCCGTATTAGTACCATAGCCAGTGGTGTGTTAACTGTATATTCAACTAAGTCAAAAGATATCGTTCCATCTTCTGCATCCATGCCCTAGCAAACAACGTCGCCTAACGATCTCAACCATTTGAGGACTCGCAAATTGCTCTGATATTCGACCTATTCTATCTTGCTTCCAAGACCTACATTATCATTTGAACTGCCCAGATTTTCTGGCGCATAGTTACATGCACAATGTAGCACGGCTTCACCCAATTTGTCATCACCACTCAAAGCAGGGTCATGTGACGACTTGATTTATAATATTGCACCCCCCCAATACAACACTCATGTTTTGGCTGATATTACATGTCTGAGTGGTCTCAATTAGAATCTTTGTGCCATTTTCCTGATATTTTTTATTACGCCAATCAAGTGGCTTAGACACTGATCTCACCAGGCGTCGGCATCGGCGTCGACGTGAAGCACCGACTTATGGAGCTACCCACTAGAGCCGGGGCCGAGAAGGTCCTTACACGGGTGCGTGCTTCATGATATCAACCGATGCTTCTTGATCAATGCTAAATACATTCGACATAGGCCTGCGATTCGTGTCGCAAGAAGAAGACTCGTTGTCAGCCAACCAAAGAGGGTTGTGTGCAGTGCTCAAAACACCAATTACCTTGTCATTTTACTCCCATCAAAACACAGAGACAACCTCGAAGGCCGCAAGGGTTTGTACATTCACCACTCTCCAATGGACATGGAATAACAGTTACTTTCTAGCCACAAGCATATCAGGGCGCTTGAGGGGAAATTGAAACAATTGGAGGGGCTTTTGGAAGACGCTCGTCACCTGAACAATCCAGGTATAACCGAACCTGTGCTTGAGACAGCCTCGTCATTTGATATTCTTGGCTTGGGGGGACAAGTTGATGCAGGAATCACCCATATTTCGCAAAATCCTGAGATGAAGCAGCTAAATCTGCCAAGCAATGGGGCAGATCTGGGGAGTAGCAATATCGACATGGGCTTCTCGTTTTGGCCTTGGTGTCAGAACACAACAGCGGGGATGATATCGCCATCAAGTTTCACCCCTCTCGCTCCTGTTCCTGCGTATACCTCACTTACATGGAAGGACAGTCTTGCACTAGGTCCATTTTCTCGACCTTCGTTCCATAAACTACCATCCGAGTCAGTCGCCCTCGAACTAATAGATGATACATTCAAGAGCTTCAATAACTTCTTCCCACTTTTCGACGAAGGGGACTTCCGACAGCAGTTTCACCAAAACTACAGAGACTGTAATCGGAGTAATCCTGCCTGGTGGGCGTGTGTTAACGTCGTTTTCTCGTTGGCCCATCGATTTCGTGCAATGCGAATCTTGGACGCCCACAATGAGAATTTCGAATCGTGTGGGTATATTCACAACGCTCTCGCTGTTGTCTCAGAGATCAGTATCCTGCACCATAGCTTACCTGCCATTCAGGCT